TGGGTTTTGGTGTTGAGATGGAGATCTCTGGGGGATTTTCACTGTTTGATATTATGTCGGGCTGGGAGGTCTCTTGTGGATCAGTGTCCTGAAGTTCAGTCTCCCACCTCAGAGGAACAGCACTGACTCCTGGCTGGAGCACAAGAGCCCTTCATCCACACGGCTGAGAATAAAAGGGAGAAAAAGTAGAAAGAAAGAAAGAAAGAAAGAAGGAAAGAAAGAAAGAAAGAAAGAAAGAAAAGAAAGAAAGAAAGAAAAAGAGAGAAAGAAAGAAAGAAAGAGAAAGAAAGAAAAGGAAGGAAGGAAGGGAGGGAGTGAGGGAGGGAGGGAGGAAGGGAAGGAGCAAGGAAGGAGGAAAGAAAGAAAGATAGAAAGAAAGAAAGAAAGAAGATAAAATAAAATAAAATGAAGTAGGATAAAATAAAATTAAATTATTAAAATAAAAAATAATTATTAAGAAAAAAAAATTTTTAAGAAAAAAAATGGACGGATAGAAACCTAGGACAAATGGTGGAAGCAAAGCTATACAGACAAAATCTCACACAGACGCATACACATACACACTCACAAAAAGAGGAAAGGGAGAAAAAATCATAAATCTTGCTCTCAAAGTCCACCTCCTCAATTTGGGATGACTCTTTGTCTATTCATATATTCCACAGATGCAGGGTACATCAAGTTGATTGTGGAGCTGTAATCTGCTGCTCCTGAGGCTGCTGGGAGAGATTTCCCTTTCTCTTCTTTGTTCTCACAGCTCCCGGGGCTCATCTTTGGATTTGGCCCCGCCTCTGTGTGTAGGTCGCCGGTGGGCGTCTCTTCTTCGCTCAGAAAGACGGGGTTAAAGGAGCAGCTGCTTCGGGGACTCTGGCTCACTCAGGCTGGGTGGGAGGGAGGGGAACGGAGTGCGGGGCAAGCCTGTGGCTGCAGAGGCCTGCCTGGCATTGCACCATCCTGAGGTGTGCCATGCGTTCTCCCGGGGAAGTTGTCCCTGGATCTCGGGACCCTGGCAGTGGCGGGCTGCACAGGCTCCCCGGAAGGGGGGGTGTGGATAGTGACCTGTGCTCACACAGAGGCTTCTTGGTGGTGGCAGAAGCAGCCTTAGCATCTTATGCCCGTCGCTGGGGTCCACGCTTTTAGCTGCGGCTCGCGCCCATCTCTGGAGATCCTTTAAGCGGCGCTCTTAATCACTTCTCCTCATGCACCAGGAAACAAAGAGGGAAGAAAAAGTCTCTTGCCTCTTCGGCAGGTCCAGACTTTTCCCTGGACTCCCTCCCGGCTAGCCAAGGTGCACTAACCCCTGCAGGCTGTGTTCACGCAGCCAACCCCAGTCCTCTCCCTGTGCTCCAACCGAAGCCCGAGCCTCAGCTCCCAGCCCTGCCTGCCCCGGAGGGTGAACAGCCAAGCCTCTCGGGCTGGTGAGTGCTGGTCGGCACCGATCCTCTGGGCGGGAATCTCTCCGCTTTGCCCTCCACACCCCTATTGCTGCCCTCTCCTCCGCGCCTCTGAAGCTTTCCTCCTCTGCCACCCGCAGTCTCCACCCGCGAAGTGGCTTCCTGGTGTGTGGAAACCTTTCCTCCTTCACAGCTCCCTCCCACTGGTGCAGGTCCCATCCCTATTCTTTGTCTCTGTTTTTTCTCTTTTCTTTTCCCCTACCCAGGTACCTGGGGACTTTCTTGCCTTTTGGGAGGCCTGAGGTCTTCTGCCAGTGTTCAGTAGGTGGTCTGTAGGAGTTGTTTCATGTGTAGATGTATTTCTGGTGTATCTGTGGGGAGGAAGGTGATCTCCACATCTTACTCTTCCGCCATCTTCCCCTCCTGGCCCTCCTGTGATTTTTGAGTTGCTTAACTATAATTGTTCTCCCTCATTCCTTAATATGACTTTTTCTCTAAATCCTTGTTGTCTTCAGCATCCCCAATTTTAGAATCCTTCAAGTCAATACTAGATTAACTCATCTTCCAAAGTCTGAAAAGAAAAATACATGATTAAACTATTAGGATAACATTTAAAATAAGCCTACAGATTGTCTCACTTTAACTTTTTTTATACATATGATGGCTAACCTGAGGGAATGTTTTTTGCTTTCTTTTGCATTTTTGAGAAATACTCAATAGTATAGTTAATTCATTTAAATATTATCATAATTTGAGAATTTCCAGAAATTTGTAGGAATTGAAATTTTTAACATTATTAAATTGCTAATTTCAGGACAATGCCAACTGCCAAGCTTCCTACAGTTTGCAGCATAAGTTGAGCTCCATATGTAACCCAGGAAGTTCATGTAAAAGAGAGGGGACGGGGCTCCCCTGGTGACGCAGTGGTTGAGAGTCCGCCTGCCAATGCAGGGGACATGGGTTCGTGCCCTGGTCCAGGAAGATCCCACATGCCGTGGAGCGGCTGGGCCCGTGAGCCATGGCCACTGAGCCTGCATGTCTGGAGCCTGTGCTCCACAACAGGAGAGGCCACCACCGCCAAAAAAAAAAAAAAAAAAAAAAAGAAAGGGGAGGGACTTCCCTGGTGGTGCAGTGGTTAAGAATCTGCCTTCCACTGCAGGGGACATGGGTTTGATCCCTGATCAGGGAACTAGATCCCACATGCACGCCACAACTAAGAGTTCGAGTGCCACAACTAAGGAGCCCACTGGCCTCAACTAAGGAGCACGTGTGTGGCAACTAAGACCCGGCACAACCAAAATAAAAATAAATAAATAAATAATAATATTAATTTAAAAAAATTTGAAAAATAAAAGAGAGGAGAGACAACAAACTTACTTGAAAATATTCATGCATACATGCAAACATACAGAAATGCACCAGCCAGGAAAGAATGCTGCATTTTTCCTGCAAATGTTGAGAGAAGTTTTTGCAAAATGTTGGAATGAGTGGAATGACCACAGATTGGTGGGTGGTTCTGAAACCAGGTTGTGTTTGGACAGACTCCTTCTTAGGAGTGAGAGTGGATGGCGTTTGGATGGCCTTTCCATTATACTCTGAATCTCAGTGGCTGAAACTATTTCTCAATATGTTTAGGCTCCTTGAGCTCAATATTTTTTTATTGTGATTCTTATTTTTGATTTTGTAATTTTGGATACTTATTTCCAACAATCATGCGACATGAAGCATAGCCCCAAACAGTTTTGGTATCTGGAAAACACACCACACATGTACACACACAAATATCCCAGGATTCTAGATGTATTTTGAGAGTGTGACAAAATATTAAAATGCTATTTACTGATGATGTAACAACAACAACAAAAAAAGAGATGAAGTTAAACATAACACTCTCTTTGTGGTATTCTTCTTATCATCAATTGTGGAGCAACTTGCAATTTTTGCTAATGCTTTATCTGAATGAGGCATTTCTTTCTCAAATTCTACACCCATTTCTACTATTTCCATGGTATAAGAGTTATTTTTCTTGGTCCATTATGCCTTTATGTGTGTTTTAAATACTTCAGTTTAAATAATAGAATAAAATGAGCATTTCCAAAATGTCGATTGTTTGCCTTTATCTTGCCGGAAAATACTTTTGTGAAGATTTGAGATATGCACACAATATAAACGTTTTACGGACTGTTGCATTTTTAATTACTGTTCCACTGAGATAGAACTTCCATTTTAATTTGCTACAAGGTATTTGTATCAAAAGCCTTGTCAGCCCTCTAGGGAGATATCATTTTAAAGTTAATTCTTTTCAGTATATGAGTCTCTGGAGTAAGATAAATATTACAGTATTAAGTACTTGTAGGAAGCTAAAAACAGTCTCTGTGGGATTCTTTCTTGATAAATGCAGTTAGTGAAAAAAAATACCACAATGGTGTTATGTATACAAAAGACCCCTTTGTCATTTATTAAATAAATAGCTTTGTCAAATGACTGGCTTCACAATATTAATGAAAGAATTCCCTTTCTTTAGCTTGAAGGAAACTTAGCTAGAGTCTTTGTCTCATACTCTTATTCTAAATAACATAATTTGGTTTGGGCTGTAGGTACTCATTTCTTACAATGTTTCATCAAGGATCTGGTGATTATATGTCCTTTGCAAGTGCCAGATTGAGTTGGAACAATATAATGTCCTGGAGAATTTTGAGCTGAATTTTGGATAGCAATAGAAATATACTTCAATTACTGGATAGCCATTGGCATTGAAGCTTCAGAAATGCTTTAGGGAATCATGTAAATGTCTGTGGAAGTGTTCAGCTCTGCTCAGTGTGTATTTGATGGACATCTACCCACTTAAGTTACAAAGAGAATTAAAAATCTATGGTCACCAGAATTTTTTTGAGTATTCAAAATCTTTGATGCATCCTTTGAAGGGTCTTATTGTTACACTTATGAGCTTATTTCAATTGGCTTCAAATTCATTTCACTTAAATCTTTTTATTTTACAGTGGTCTTGATCCTTCTCAAGTCTCTTGTTTTAAAGGAAGTTTATCATGTTGCTAAAATTTGATTAAATATGGAATTCCAAGAAGTGTAATAGAGTTCCTTTAGTGAATGATACATGTCTTAGAAAGCCAAAAGAAACAAGTGAATTTTCCCCCAACTAACTGAATTAAAACTCTATCTTGTACTATGGCAGAGAGACTGCCACACAGGATGATTTCCTTCTAGCATCTGTTGCTTTGTTCTCTGTGTTAAAATAACTTTGCATGTAGTGAACGTTAAATGGGCCACTCGGGAAAAACCTATAGAATATTGTTTTCTTAGCAGTTTAGAAGATAATTGGTAAAATACTCATAAATGTATCCAGAAGTCCCAGTAAGACTTTCCAGGAGATCATCAATATTTTTTGTATAGAATTTATCAAAGTAGAGCTAAACCATTCTAACCTATTGGCTGTGGCCTTCCTAAAATGCACTATAAAGAAGTTAAGTTGAATGGTTGTAATTAAGGTATACGACAGTAAAACCTTTTCTTCACACAGCTTTTATATAGCAAGTATTAGAAACTGAAGAGTACTTACTAATTGAGATGACCTTTTTTTTTAATGTTTTATAGTGTCCTGATTCAGCATGTAAGCAGGATTTATTAGCCTACCTTCAACGAATTGCCTTGTATTGCCATCAACTTAATATCTGCAGCAAGGTGAAAGCCGAAGTACAGAATCTGGGAGGAGAGCTCATTGTGTCAGGGGTAAGCTGGGACCTGGGCTTCACAATTCAAGTTCCCACTGTTGTACTTCCAAGGCAAGCATTCTTGGCAACAGTACTGCTAAAAACACCAAACTACAGTGATTCATAGGGAGTTTTTTTTTAAAAAAATAAATGTTATCACCATTATTCCAGACCTTACAATAACTCACAAAGAACAGTTTGATTTTCCAATTACCCCATGTTTATACTAGCCTTGTAAAATCTCCGTTCTTCACAAGAAAACTAATTTCATAGTCTGGAAACTCATTGGCAAGCTGTGACTATTATAATTATTTGGGGCTTTTGTATATTTACTCATTGTAAGTCTACTTCCCTCTGTTAGTCCTAGCAATTTTCATTCTCTGTTCAGGAGCAAGCCTCTCTATGTGTGGATTGTGTTCACATGTTAGAGATGATGAAAACAATAGAAATTCATTCATCAGGTTCCAATGCATACTAGGTTTTCAGTAACCCTTAAAAGCCAGAAAATGTTTGAATTTAACACAGGTTGATGTGCTGTTGCCAAAAACTAACATGGTTGTCAAACACTAACAATTATATATCCTTTGTTCAATCACTTCAATGTTTCCCTTCTCATGAAAATATAAGTATCTGGTCCATTTTAATCAAATGCAAAGAAACAAGAAGTTCAATGAATAGAAGAATCATGATTTCTTGGCAAGATTTCCAATGTATGTGTTGAGGTTCTTCACCTTGGCTTCTTTTCCTCTCTCAGTCCCTTTCTTTCAACACAAGGTGCCATCTATTATAAACAATTTGCAAATTCCAAAGTGTGGCTCTGCTACCTTTAGTTCTTTTCCCAGTCAACCATGATGCTGCTATTTTAAGTGTGGCATTACCAGGAACAGAGCATTATCAATATGGTGAATGCCTTGTGAAAATCAGATTGGTCATGAAGCTCAGTTCTTCCTCAAGCCATTTTCAGAAATTCAGCAGGTTGACCATTTGATAAAAAAATATGTGGAAAAATCATTCTTGAACCCAAATATTTCAGTTCCTATATTGTTTGGCTTGCAGAAAACATAGCTGGGAAAAGAGCTGATCTGGTTTGCATGGAGATGCCATTTGGAAAGCCTGTTCCATGCAGTCTCACCTAGAGCCCAGTAAATTGCTGTTTTGTGCCTCTTCCCAAAGCATAGTCACCTCTTTGCATTTCCAAAATGATCCTGCTTCAACATTCTTCAACAACCAAGAGCAATCTGTCTTGCAGTGTGTCCTTTCTGCCAAGTTGGTAATTACCAAGATTCTCTCTGCCAAGAAGTGATCAAAACATTGCATCTCCCTTGCTTCCTTTCTTATCTTCAGCCTCAATGGTATAGTTTCCCATACCATTCAGCTTTCATGTCCATCTGTATATAGCACCTGTGGAACCGAGTGCTTTTTGTTTAGCTTGCCTTGTGTGCTTTCATTTGTTACTTTCCAAATCTTATTATTTATATGGATGCACAGAGCATCTTTGTGGATCTCAGACTCCACAACATCATCTAAGTGAGTTTTACTGGCAGAGTTACTCTCCATCGTCCTCTCAGTACCCATTGTTCATCACTGCCTCCAGAGCTTCATTTCCATTGTCTTTTCCTCATTTAGATGTAGTCCAAACCATCACTGGCTTTTATCACTTGCACTGTTGGCATTTGCAGAGGTGTTTGAGATTGAGAACACCATCAAGAAGCCTGTTTCCTTCTTTGAGTCTTATTGGCAATGTTCATAAATCCTTGCATGGGAGAAGGCTTCTTTTAGAGGAATGTTATACAACTTTATAATAATTCTGAGTGAAACGCATTATAAAGGTTTGCTTATGTTGCTCAGTTATGGGCCTGCTCTTGGTCTCTTCATGATTTTTTTCCAAGCTTGATTGTTATTTGGTGCCATACCTGCCTGTGTAGTCTGCTGTCTTTGCCACTTCTGCCTCTATCTTATTCTTCATCCTCCTTCACTGATGGCCAATGGAGAAAAAAATCAATATTTTTATTTTGCAAAATAGCCACAAATGACTGCCTTCAAAGTTCTGAAAGAGTCAAGAATGTGAGACCCCATACACAAAAACTTTTCAATGATTTTGCCAAGAAAGTGCACCCATGCTTTGAGCCCCATTTATTTTGTTGTCTGGCATGACAAAGTTGCTATATTTTTAAAGGAGAAGCTCCTATAGTATAAAATGCAATAAAAAAAGAGAAATACTTGAATATTCCTCCCTTTTTTCCTGTGTCATTATGTACATGGGATTCAAAGCTGTGGCTTCTTCCCTGAAATACACAAAAGCCTCCAGGAAGGTATATTTGTAAGAAGTCAAAGCTTCTACTAAAACAGCAGAGATTTGGGTAGATTGTTTCCATTTTGCTAAGGAAAATGATTTGGATTTCAAAACTGAGCACCATGTTTTTATAGTCTCATGCTGGCATGATGAACTTATGTTAAACAAAATGCACATATACCATGTCAGCATGTATATGTTTTATGTGAGTCTGTGTGTTCAAACTGGGAAAGGCTTCTTCTGTTATATTTGCATTTGGCTTGAGAGGTAGCTCAGGAAATTTCAACAGGTCATGGGGACAGTGGATGACAAAGCTCTTCACGAGTCATGGGAACTAGAGAAATAAAGCAAATTAAAAAAATATGCCTATATATGCTCATTCACACAACTGCTTTCTAAGAAGCACCATTAGTTTTCTGGCTGGCAATCAATTTTCTAAAGTCATTGGCTTAAACTTTTCTCAACATCAGAAAGGTGCCATTCTTAATAAATCTCAAAGTATAGGATGCATATTTGTGAGCCAATTCAGCTCAACCTGGTTGCTAAGCAGGTAATGGGAAAGGGAATTAAACAAACAAACAAACAAACAAACAAAAAACTAAGAGAGTAATAAAAATGTTAGAGAGAATGTGGAAGAAACTAAAGCCCAGACAATTAACAGCCTGGTAGTTTATATACTGGCTTTATTTGCTTTTTAGTTTAGTGTTTGGTAGTTTAATCTCTTAAGCCAGTTTACATGCTTTTTGGAAAAAGACCATTAAAGGAAGAAAAGAAGAAAAAAGAGGAAAGGATGGAAGATAGGAAGGAAAAAGCATGAAAGAAGGAAAAGGATAAAACAAAGGAAAGAGAAATTTAACCATAGCATATTATAAATTAGTTTAGTGCAAGTAATATCCATTAAAGGTGACAGCATTATATTCATCATGAGAGAAAAGTTGAGCCACAATATTTTCAGTATGGAGATATATATTGAATACAAATAAGTTCCAATGTCATGCTATGGAAATTACCTGTATATTTGATTATTGTGTTTTAATTAATTTTTATTCACTAGGTTTCAGAGGAGTTAATAGGTTCTTTTAAATTTAAAAATGGAGATATACACATATTTCTGGAGAAATGAAAGCCATTTTATAACCTTTAATTATCTTTAGCTACCCAAAGATTTATACTTTGCACATTATTCTGAATGAGATTGGAAACACAAACACAGGGTTTTAGAACATAGAATGCTGAATATCAAGCATTCTGATAAAATGGAAATATTCCACGTACATTATATTTTTAAAGTTCAGATAAAACAAGAGCCCCATTATAACAATGAAGCCAGAGCACAGGAGCAATAACCCTGCTCTGGACAGGAATCTGATGTTCAGGTCAGAGATGGACGATGCTGATATAACTTATAGCTGACTCCCCATAAAAGTGTTACAAAGTTAATAGATTTTATTTCATATAAATGCCTTTTTTCACACAAACAAAATATAGGAACAGAGTTTAGAGGTGAGGAATGTTAGTTCCCTTCATTCTCAGGCTGATTGAATGGAGCCCTGACCTATTCCTGAGGGACTGAGTAATTTGCCCTAATGTGCACTTTTGTTCTTTGTCTTTTAATCTCTCCTTTCCAAATTTGAATTCCTCTCAATTGGGTTATGGAGAGGTTTGACAAGGTGAACAAGTATAATTTGCAACATGAGTAGGATTTGAATTGGTAAAGAGAAAATTGTAGAATAAGGGTCAATTATAGTCACTCTTATAGCCTACATTTCATATCATTAAAAAAATGGACTAAATTAAAATGAACATGAATATTCATGATGATAAATGAAAAATGTTCATAAAAATGCTGGAAACTGAGAACAGTCAAATCAATCCTACCTGACACTGGCATATGATCGAAGATACATATATGCTATATGTATATGCATACATGTATGCACACAACAAATACATGTGATTTGACACTTAAATTCCTTGTTCCCTAAATAAGCAGTAATCAAGAACTGAACAAATGGTTGACAACTGTAACATATCTGATTCAATATTATACAGTTTGGAAGCAAATATGGTGTTTATTTGTACCAAGCTATATATACATATATATATATATATATATATATATATACACATATATATATGTATATATATGTATATATATATACGTATATATATATACGTATATATATATACATATATATATATTTGTACTGTATATATGTACTATATATATACATATATACATATATATATATTTGTACAATGCCATATATATGTGTATATATAAATATATATAGATTATATAGATATAGATAATTGTGTTTTGTTGAGATGAGAATTACATTTTACTTGAAAATTTCTGTGTTCACTCTGTAAAAAAAGTGTCAGTATTTTGAAATGGAATGAAACGTTCACTGAAACAAGCGTTGTGCTTGAGTCATTTTTGTTATATCTTCTGATTCTGTCTCTTGTCAATTCTATATTATCTCCACTGATCAAAGTATAGTAGTAATGGGAAAAAATCTAAATTGCTAGTTTTCAGTTTGGGGTCGGAATCCACTTCTGTGCTTCATTTAAACAAAAGGGTATGTGTTCAGACAACTCACAGCAGTTCCAAAGAATTTTATCCAGACCTTCCAGAGGGTAAGCCATTAAGTATTTGGGCTTAAAGGACTTTTTCTGATCTGGGGGGAGTAGAAGAATCCAGATCCAGGGAAGTAAAATTAAAA